CAAGGTGCGGTTATCAGGCTGCTTATAAGAGGTTTTGCCCGCTGTATGGGCTTGCGTCATCGTTGCCAGTGCCTGACTAAAATACTTTCAACCAGCTTTCATCAAGGCCTTACGGCAAGTCCTTGAACGCATCTCCTTGAACTAGGTTCTCCTGTCTGTGTTTCATGTTACAAAAGGCTACGTTGATAGTATGGCTAGAAGTACAGTGTATACTTTGTAGTTCCGGGGTACGGGGCGTCATATCTACCGTCCCACTCTTATTAGACATTATACTCTCCGAGACCGGGGCACGTCATGATCGGACTCGGAGCTTGTGTAAACGGGTGGAACACGTTGCGCTAAGGCGATAAGATCCTTGAAATCTGCTTGCAACGACATCAGCATCCGTAGACCTACTCCATTTACACAGGTCGTACCGCTCGGCTTGCGCTTGGGTCCGTGCTTTCGAGTTTTGATGTGAGCGTTGAGGTGGCCGAGTGTACCGTAAGAATTATTGCAGCTCTCGAATGAACATGAATAGGGCCGCTCGATATCATAAAGTCTGCGCGAGCGTTTGCGAGCTGAGCCGGTAGGCGAGATGGAGACACTAGAATGCTGGCTACGGTTTCTTGATGGCGTAGTCGGCGCGCTGGAAGATGGGGATGATACACTGCTCGTAATCGGCTGGAGTGTAACGTCCTGAGATAATTGTCAACCGAAGATAGAGACGATTATATGTCATTACACGTACAATAGTATTTGAACTGGAACTAGGAGTCAAATTATTTGGCGAAAATTGCCTTTCGCGATGCCTTATTTGTTTAAGCTTTCTTTTGGTGAGTTACTGACACAACAACGGGTATTTCTGAAGAGACTTACGCGATCTCGAAACACTTCAGAGCTCGGACGGTTTGAAGGGTCGTATGCACATGAATCTATCATTAGCTCCCACAGTTGGTCGGACTCATTCAAGGCGAAGGAAGGAAAATTTTTGGGCCGTTCGGGCATTTGATGTTTTATAGCCACGGCAATGTACACCGCCATGTCGTTTTTATCGTTAAATGGCACCATCCCCGTGATAGCTTCCTGAAAGTCGTGTTAGACCTAGCAACAATCTGAAGGACTAAGATAACATACCAACAGAGTCTTTTGTTTAGCATCAGAATTTTAGCCGATATTCTCGCTGCAACTTAGTTGCACAAAGCTTACCATTCCGAGCGCATATATATCGGCTTCCTTGCTGAGTGTTATGGGACCAATCAAGATCTCAGGCGCCTGGGAGAAATCTTCAATACAACATAATTGGAGGCTTATTAGAAGCATAAATGAACTTACTGCCCAGCGCAAAGAAAGCTTGGACTCGCTGGTTGTGGTCGTGAAGCATAGTGTACTTGATTTGAGTTCCGAACATCCAAAGTCGACTAGCTTTGCCACTCCTTGGCTAGTTATTAGTACATTTGCCTGGCACACGTAGTTTCAGTTTTCGCACGCCCTAAGCGGGCGTTGCTTTGAAATCTTACGCCTTTGATGTCTCCGTGTATCTAGGCAAATATTATATATCGTTTATGAGCGCATAAGAGCAACCGACAAATATGGGGACTTGCCGTTTCATTTTGATGCAAGTACGCCACCCCTTCTGAAATTTCACTGCACTGCAGATTTCTCGTCAGCCCACGCTCCTTTGTCACAATATACTCTACCACCCTACCAACTGGTAGCGATCCACAGTTGGGTTGCGCTCGAGGTACTGCAGTAACGTTCCGTTATCCATCCAAGGCGAAATCATAGCGATTTGATCCCGAAACTGTGCTAGACCCAACAGTGTAAGCACGTTATTGTGCTCGAAACGTGACCAAGTATGTAGTTCACGGGCAGCATGCTATCAAAGCAAAGGCACTCAAACGTCAATTTGCCAAGTATTTGATGTCCTAATGAAGTTCGAGTGTACTTACCTTTAGAATTTTATGCCCCTGCGCATCGTCCTGTTGAATGTACAATCTCGTACACTTGATTGCTACCTTCTCTCCTCCGATGAGCACTCCTTGGTATATATCCCCAAACCCGCCACCCGAGATAGGAGCACGTCCGCATCTCTCTAAATCAAGTTGATCACTGATGTCGGGGCATTGGCGCTCAGCAAGAAGTGCTATGATTGTTGAAGCCGGCTGTCGGCGTATAAAGTGTCAACAAATCATCAAGTTCCTCTCGTTCGTAAGTTGTCACGTACCATAGTACTGGATATAATGGCTTGAGGCCCATTAACCCTCGTTCGATCTGAGGATAAGTATTAAAAATTGGAGACATGCCCAATATCGCACCTGTAGTAGTGGTTGCTTGCATCACGATCAGAACAAGAAACCAGCCAGGATATCTGTACCCAGAGTAGTGGTGGCTGCAGTCAGAGTCGGGTGACCACCAAGAGTGTGCCTATCATGAACCGAATCCGAATTCTGGCGATTGCCAGGGTTCGGCACAGCAAAGACGCGCGAAGATTCTTGCAGGAAGGGGGCAGGTCTCTGCGCATGTGGTCAGGTTTTTTGTACAACATGGGTGCTGCTGGCCACGTTTCGGACATTTCTGTACCGTCTAGGCCAAGACTGAAGTCGTAGCGCTCCCTGAGCGTGTTTCGTCCGCTCTTAGCGACAAACAAAGGCACGTGACCATCGGACCATCCCGTTTGCACTCCCTTCTCATCTCTTCCACACTCGTCCCTCCCTTCTATAGCCTTTTTACCATGAATCTTATGCCTCACACGCATTATATGACTTTGTCTTCTAATCCGCTCGACTGACTCGTCACCCCCACCTCTATCGGACCTGTCTAGTCTCCCTGCCAATGCTCAGTCAGGTACCGTGCCCAATGGTACGCAAGCAACGGTGATGTTTTGAGTTCTGGATTTCAATATATGCTGCATAACAAGGCTGTAGCGAACCGAAAGCTAATCAGTAAGAAGCAAGAGTTTTCTCCCCCAGCTGCATATATCCACATCATTTTGATGCGCATGTTCATCAGCTAACGACGGCAGTTTCACCCAGAATTTTCTTGTATGTTTATGCTCAAGTGGATCTTTGAATACACGGCCAGGATATGTCAGTGATTACATACGTAGTCGATGTAATCAGACTCACCACGTCTCGAATGACATGCGACAAGGCAGATGGTAGGTAGTGTCCGTCTCCGTCACATAGCATAAAATATTGGGAAACTCTTCTAACAGCGAGACTCTGAGGTCCTCCATCGTGTCTCCAGTAGGGGCTCGACACCGTTCAAGGTGAATAACTCGAACGCCGTATATTAGAACCATAAGCCTCAAGCCTAGAAGGGCCACCTGGCATGACAAAAGGTGTAAAGTCGGGAAGCTTGGGGACGATGTTTGATTCAAACGATCCTCGCTTTCGTACTTCGCTGCCAATTCATTGCTCATTGTTTCAATATCAAACGTAGCGAGGTCGTATTGTTCGAGTATTAAAACTTCCAGTGAGGATAGTTCTTTTGAGAGCAACAGGAAGCTCGAGATGGTGGAATACGAGCTACAGAAAAACATCCTAATCCGCGTTCTGCGAAAGAATCCCGCTATTGCGTCGGTGTGGCGGCATAAATCCTCGTACATAAAGTTTACACTCAAGGTGTTGGGGCATTCCGATAAAGACATTATAGGCAGTACTTGATTCAGGTTTTCGCACGACAAGCCGACCAGGCATAGAACCTCTAAGTGATTCAGAGGAATTGCAATATGTGTATCCCAGCTGATATACCCAGTCAGTCTTACGTTGCACAGTTTCAGTGTAGTCAGCCCAGGGCTAGAGGCTAGGACGGAAGCAAAATGCGATAACTGAAGCTCGCGGTATCGAGCTTGCACGCTGAAACTCAGCCGCAGATCTACTAGTCCGCAATAAACAATGCTGGTCAAAGGGATCATGACTTGATGCAAGTGAAGCGTTGTTATGGAATGCAGAGCTGCCTCAGCAAGTCTAGCTGATGGCTGATCAACAAAATTCAGCTGCGGGCTAAAGATGTTGTGAAAGGACCAGTTGCAGGCACCGGGAGCACGTACAGATAGGGCCTGCGCAGCAGTTGTGGAGCCAAGAGTTAGCCAAGACCTCAGTAAGTCACCGGCAGCCTTTCGAGAGTTGTCTCTACTTTCTACGTCAAGTTTATGGATCCGATGGTTCACCCCTTTGAGGAAGTCTAAAAACCACTGCAACCAGGTGCCGTTTTCGGCCTTGACGTCACATAGAATGACGTTTACGTCCAGCGGAAGGTTACATGAGCGGTCAAGAGAGACTACGGCCCGGTCGTGAGTAGATTTAGAGGTACTGATATTAACTTGGGTCCATAGAATTGGTGTACCTATAGCAACTCGCCTCCAGTAAGAGCTAACTCGAAGGATCGGGCAGCTAAATGGGTAATTGTTCGACTGGCTCGGACCTTGGAAGTCGTTGTGAAGAATTACAAAGATGTGGGCAAGGAGCTCCGAAGGAAGTGTGTAAAGTGAAGTGAGCGCCTTTGAGCTATTTCTTATGGTAGTCAACGAGATGCGTGCATCGTATAGCCGGTCCTCTTCCTCTACAAGACTAGAAAGCTGTTCATCGATGGTTGTACATACTCCCTCAATCGCCCGCTGGTTGAGTAACTGCGATGACTGAGCACAAACAAGATTGAGGTCGGCGCAAGCGGCGAGATAACCTTTGACCGCAGAAGTTAATCCAGAGCGGCAAGCCTTCCAATTGTTCAACGAGGATGCAACGTCCCATTCCCTCCTGGTTGGCGATGCAGCATCAGGCGTCGGCATCGGGTCACACTCTGATACAACGGATACCCAGAATTCAGTTCTCAAGTCGGCCGGTTAGATTGGTTAGCCCTAGGTTGTGACCTATGTCTAAAGATCGTTGTGAACAAAGCCGGAGGACCGAAAGTGTTACATCACCGTTACGAAGTTACCCGACACAGTGAACAATCACTGCCTGATCACGGCTAAAAACGCACAGCGAATCGGAAGTTCTTCGGATGTTTATCAGCAAGCCCCGCTAGCTCAATCGGTAGAGCGTGAGACTTTTATGAAGCATAAGCCTCTTTAAAGGCACAATTGCGCTGCTCAAACTTGTGCTCAGTTCGTAGGGGATCTCAAGGCTGCGGGTTCGAGCCCCGCGTGGGGCTTCAAGCTTTTGCGTGCGGATTTAGCAGACCTTGGGCTTTTTGATTTCGACTCTCGATAATGATATTATCGGAGGTATTTGCATGCATGTACTGCAACTTGTCTCGGATCTTCCCCCTGAACTGATGAAACACCAATACCGCAGCTTAAGAGGCTGAACAATGGGATCTCTCTACACGACAACCCGTTTAGGTAAACCGGAAGAACGCTCTTTGATAGTTGTTCTGTTTCACATTCGAATTTATAACCAAATCTTCAGAAAGCGCACCTTTGCTACATGCAATAAACTCGTCAAAACAATATTGTCAGAGAACCGACATCGACATCAGCTGGGGGGCCATGCTTGTGTACATTTTCCAGTTAGCCAATGAACTCCTGGCCATCAACAGTCTAATTTACTTGTTGTATTCGTGTAAGATATCTGGAACTTCGGTCTAAATCGGGGTAACGAAACGAGGATCATTGGAGCTCAGTTGACCATCAGAGCCAATGAGTAAAATTGAAGGTCGAATCCAGACTGTAAGCATGACGTTCAACAATCCCATGAGGTAGAAAATGAACCCAAAAACCATGGAGGGAGGATTCATGCGGGGATTTGAGAGCAAGGAAGGGTCGCTGAATGTAGCCCAACGCACTACTGAAAAGGGGAGAATGCAAAATGTATAGGCGACGGGGTAACTGGGTATCATATTTTTAGGAACCAGCACTGGGCTTAAGGGGTAAGCTTACTATAGTATCTTGGCGGGATTATCGCTATCCTGGGTACTGGAGCCAGAGCTGAGCTGACTCCGATTGTCAATCGGCCTGTCATCGCGCTCAGCATCGTTCCCCTGTGATTGCGACTCATTCCTGTTGTTCTGGAGAATAAAATACGAGGGAACATAAAGGCAGATTGTCCCAACTCCCGCAATCCATAACCTACAAAGTAAAATTAGCATCAGGCACAAATAGGATTAGACTAGAGTTAGATACCAGAGATATTCAGCAACGATACGATTAGACATGTACCGCCCGTTGATCCAGCACCCTGTATGAAAGCTTCGGATTAGATAACTCCATACTTGTGCGTAACACTTCACCTACACCATGGGGTAGGGGTATAATATAGCCTTGTCCCATACCCGTCTGATTCCAATCCTGAGTAAGTTCCAATGGGCACAACTCCCCACAAGATGACCCACAACCACGTGGCAACTATTGCTGCTAGACAGTACCATGGGCTGTAGGCCGGGCGTCGGTTTAGGTAAAGCACGGCGAAACTGTACACGGTCGCCAGTATTGTGGCAAACGCCACTGCCGTCTCTCTAATTATTTGGATCGCGCCTTGCGTGTTACATATTGGCCCGACATATACTTGGCCCCTGCGAGCCCAGTACATATTGGGAACGGACCCAATTGACATCCAGATATCGGCGCATATAAGATTGAGCTATTCCAAAGAATCAGCCACATGCAACGCAACTAGTTGAAACATTGAAACACCATGAGAATATCAATGTTTCCTCGAAATAGCCGCCATGGTCCAGGCGGCGGTTTGGCTAAGTTACGACGATAGTTGCGCTAGTTATAAGTAAACTTAGTTAGCATACACGCATCTCCGGAGGTTGGTATTACTGACCAAAATGACCCCAAGCAAGAGCAAGAGCGAGATGAGAGATAAAAGACCAGCTTGAGCATGAAACCAATTGTATGTATCTGAGTATGTGGCCGGTCGCAGAGTCAGAAGCACCAACCGCAAGTCCAACAACAGCCCCGGTATCCAGACACACGTTGGAAGGGTTCTCCTGTGTGTCGAGATAGCTCTCAAAGTTCCATGTACAGTCGACAGGCCCTGACATATGTAATGTAGACACGCCGATGAGATCAGGGTTGCTGGCGTTTTCCGCGTTCCAGCCTGAATTATATATTGGTTAAAATGGCAAATGACGACGACATCACTCTGCAAGCGCTCGTCAACGACCCAAATTAGATAGTGCTCATCGTGCATAACGCTAGGAACGCGTCTAAAATATCAGCCATGCAGCGCTTCTCTTCCGTGCTCAGGTGGGTTCAACTCCACTGGCGATCGGAGACAGCCGGATGAGCGTCAGGAAAAGCAGGTTATGCAACTCATTACAAGAACAACAAGAATCCCCGTGGCCGATAAAGGTCCGCCTTGGACAAATGGTTGGTCGGAAACGGGCAGTACAAAACTATACTTTTTCGGGAGCAAGTTGAACTGTAAGTGCCGTTGCAGGACAAGTGCATACATGGCATGGATAACTTTGGCAGCTCTCCGATGGTGCGCCAATTAACTCCGTGACTAATGCATTAATATGACAGAAAATTGCGATAAAAGCTGTTTTGGAATTATGTACATGGACGGTATAGTGCTACTAGTCAGTTCGAGTATCATAACTGAAGGAATTTGCAGATTTGAAGCTTGTACTCAGCACTCTACGTAGATGCGAGTTTAAGCATACTACGGAAGTAGCGGTGCCAGTGCTTAGAGTAGTTCAAACTGGGGCTCAACTGGTCGCTCAATTACACTTTCAACTGGGCGTCAATCCAAGGCTGGAACTGAGCGCCAAGAGGCTCGACCCAACGAGCTATGATTCGGTTGATTCGTAGCTAGTGGATTGCGCTACGTATGTCGTGTTAGAGGCATTCGCTCAGACTGTATGCGCTTATTCAGACCTACAAGTGAGATTTGACTGGAAATAGGAGGGCTAAGATTTTTGAGCTCTAAGTAAAGTAGCAGTTGAAGTAGCAGTTGGGCTCCGTTGAGTAGCTTTGAACGCCTCTAACGGCTTGTCTAACTGACGATGATTTAGGCCGCAATAGCTGCGCTGAATTAGCGGTCATACGAATTGGACTTACCCCGATACTCAGACACACTGTACGATATGATGGTAGTCCTGAGTGTTAGATAACTACTGTATTTACTTATAGTTCGCAGACATGAATACATTTAAGGCGGAAAAACTGATGGAAGAGCAGAGAGCCGTGGGCTCTGTTGTGTGAAACGTGCCGTTACGTCAACGGGGGTGTGATGGAAGTTACTGCAAACCGCCCCTCGATGTTCCGCCTGAGTAGTGGCAGTATATGTTTTGATGTGACGTTTTTTAACCTCGTCGATGTGGCGATTATCTCCTGTAAGCCTGGTGGCCCTTTTTGTTGCAATACAGGGTCTACACCATCAGCTCGATAACAGTTAAGCTTTCTTGCCACAGGGGTCATGTTAGGCAGCGAAGCGTCTTTGAGGACACCTGGCGCTACAGCAGGCGAGTAGTCAAGGGAAGGATTCGCGAGGAATCATTCTGAGTAAAGGAGAGAAAGGCTACAAAAAGGGGACTGAATGTACGAGAGACTTACCTGTTGAATCGAGTGAGCTCTGAGTAGTCGCTCGGCACGCCAGCTAGTCCTTCGCCGCCCCGGTATGTATCATCTCAGCCATCTTAATGGGGATGTGAGAGATATCGGAGGGCTAATTAGCTTATTTGCCGAAGAAACGCGCCTGTAGGCGTGCTCACAGCCAGCGACGCGGCATGGGAATGTATCTCTCCAGACGCACTGCCCTGGATAAGCGCGTACACATGA